ATTCATATTGGACGAATGAGAAAAAAGGCAGCAAAGAAATGTTCTTCTTGTCAGTTTGCCATTATTTGTACGTATGTGTGTGTGGCGGAGAGAGAGAGTGAGCGCGCTCTCTCTTTACCACCCAACAAAATTCACAACAAATGCAGGGATGGCTGAATGAGTAGTGTAGTGTTGAAAAAGAGAGACTTGGCAGCACTTCATGATGGCGCCAAATTTTCATTTGAATTTACATAATGGGTAGATAAGGATTCTCGTTTTAAATTATAATTTTAAATACAATTTATGAATGAAAACAATGAATAATTTAGGCAATGGACTTAAACCAAGTTTACACCATATGTTGTTTATTACAAAACGTTTTTTGATTTGTATTTTTCATTTAATATCAGTGAAACAAATTAAAAAGTACATAAATCATGATTTTGGCATAATTTTGGAAGGTGTCTCGTTTGAGAAATTGAATATTTTCAAAAAATATGAAAAAGCCCTAAAATTTTGTGTATGTCAATTTTTATATTTTGAGCAAATTAAACAATGTATGCTTTCTAAAGCTGCACATTTGTTCTCAAGATATAAATATGGGCGTTACAATTTATATTTATGGGTACGAGGGCAGTTCGGAAAATTCTTAGCCTAGCACAAAAAGCGCGATATAAACAGAAAACGGTTAAGAGTTTTGGAAACTTCCATCTCTGTTATGAACACATGTTAAATTGTTTTTCGATCTGGCAACTCCTTCATATAGAAACAAGTGTTCAAAAAAGACGTATCCGCAATTTTTTACAATGGAAAAAATAGGAAGAAAAAATTAGAATTGTCATTTTCTTATCGTGTTCTTTGGAATTGGACAATCCCAGCGCCATACACAGCATTTTTCTTAAAGGGGCTTGGGTCTTAAGGCATAAAAAATTTTTGTTAACACAAAAACTCAAGTTCGCCATCTTTTTGGATTCTTGGAAACCATGAGAATGATCTGGAAAGTTCCTATTTGATGATGTGGCGACCAATTTTGGTATGAGAGGTCAATGTGAGGCTTAAAGGTTCAGAGGACGGCGACATGAATACTATTTTTTCATAGATGGAATATATCAGATAAATTAAAACACGTTCGATGATAGATACATGCTCATCCGAAGAAGCCAACATTCCGAAAGTAGTAGAAAGTAGCTGTCTGTAGTCTTCTTAAGGAAGTCCGCAGACTCCTTAGTTCAGTAATTAACAACATTGGCCCCTTCGTCGGTTAGGAAGAAGTATTTCGTGTAACTGTCGACTAGCACCATTTATCTTCACTGATGATCCCGTCAGGGTCAGCGCGATCCATGATTGCTTCTCGAGTCGCTAGGCGCCGTTGTAGGTTTCTGGGCTACCTGTTTCGGCAGGTTTCTCCATCGACACTCCCGACTCGTACGAAGCAGAACTATGTGCTACTGACGACTGCGTGGGTCTCTTAGCAGCAGGTTGTTGTTTGTCCGAGGACCTCATTCTCTTCACAGCTGTAGGCTGTGATTGAGATTCGGATCCAGGGGCACAATTGCTGCAAAGATAGGCCCAGCCGACGCAGGCACCTTTTGCGCGTTCGATACCTTTGGAGCATCCACCAACAGCTGGCCAATTGTCACAACCTTGGATGTGGGTTTCGACGCTTCGGCAGAGAGTGGATTTCCAGAGGGAGGTTGGATGGAGGGCTCTACTTCGGGCTGACTTCGTCTCTCCGCACCCTCCGTATTCGTGAATGCTGGTCAGAGACGTCTCAATGCTCAGTTTACCCTAGGGGGTACTGAGGGCTCAGACATCCCAGCCACCAAATTCCTAGATGTGCTAGAACCTCCAGCAGTTTTCTCCAAAAATTCGACTCCATAGAATAAGATTTTGGTGAAGGTTTATATTTTAACTTTACTTATCGAAAATAAGTTTGGATCAGATTCAGATTCCAAAATTCCAAAAATTGATTTACTTCAACTTCCAAGGACTTCTGTCCGCCAGCAATTCATGAATAGTCATCGGTTTACGAATCAACACATCACTTAGCTCTCTAGATAAAACCCGTCCACTCACTCAATGAAATAATTTCACATTTGCAGGAAACGGAGGAGAATTCAACAATGACTTTTAAAATAAATGGACATTTACAAAAAGTATTCACGAGCTGGAAAATGTTATTACCATTATGTATTCAAGTCCACGTCTAGATGTTTTAACATTCCAGAGAAAAAATTTTAAAAATAAACGCCTGAAAATATTCTTAGAAATCAATATTAAAATGCCTAAGTCTGCTTTTCCACAGGCAGATTTTTATTTGGCAAATACTGAGTTTGTAGGCGAGAGGGGTGCGAGGAAGAAAAACAAAAATTTGACTGTTCAGAATTTGCCGTACACGCAAATTCTGCTTTGCTCTGTTCGTTGAAAACAATTTTGTTGACATTTCCTTTTGAACCTATTCGCTTTATTGACACTCAGCCGGCTTTTGTTTACAAACCTGTTGTTTTAATTTGTGCAAGTGAAATTTAATTTTTAATTTTTGCAATTTATATAATAATATATATAAATAAAATATTAAAAAAAATCTTTAAAATGCAAACACTTTTGACGTTTTTTTCTTTCTTTTGTATTTTGATTCGCAAATTTGGCAAAGAAAAATTTGCTAATGGAAAAGCAAGCGAAAATTTCAAAAGAGAAAACAAAAAATTTGCCAAATAAAAATCTGCCTGTGGAAAAGCAGACTAATCGTGTTATTTGGTATTGGACTATCTAAATTTCAATCGCCGTATTTTGCATAAAGTGAGCTTGGATTTTAATTTCTAATTTTATCCACCAAGAAGCCAAATTACAATTCTTTTGGTTGGGAAAAACTGCTAAAAAAATCAGAATATCGAAAATAATGTGGGATTATTAAATAATTTAGCAGGGAATAATATTTTATATGTGTTTATTTAGGTTTTGAAAACAAGAAATTAATAACTCTGTTTTTTGAAAATTAATTTAAAATATTTTATTTTAGCTCTCTGAATAGCTTTTTTAGTATTTCAAATATAAAATTAAACAAAAAATAATCTGTAAAATAACTACAGAGAATATCAGAGCCCATTGTGCAAGGATTTAATTCCATTGTGCACTGTAATGCAATCCATGATGCAATAATAAGGTGATGTATCAAAACAAAAACATTTTTTTTGTCTCGATTATCTGTCAAATTTTTCCTTATAATATTCCAAAAATTTGGCAGCATTGCACATCCAATTCAAGTAAAATTTACCACTTTGACAGTTAATCAAGACATCAGCTGCTCTAAATGGACTACCTATTCATTGTGCCATGATGCAATCCTTGTTTGAGCTTTCTTTCAGTGGAACGCTTTTTATTATGGTATTATATGGCGCTTAATATAACGATTGTCATTATATAAACTTGGCAGCACTTTTACATTACAGCGCCAAAATGGGAAAATTAATTGTTTTCGTTTGTTGTTTGTTAAAAATTTAACTTTTATATTTAAAATATCAAATAAATATTTACATAACTGTATTCGGTGAGTACCATGACCAGTCATGTCTATATTAATGTTACTTATTTTTGGCCACAACGTTAATATTATTGTGAAAAAAACGGAATTTTCCCCACGTTTATATTTGCAAGGGCCAGTATGACCTCCAAGCGTTGTTTTTTTAATGAGGTTTGGGGGACTTCACGACTTCAGTCGTGAATTTTTATAAAGTATTTTTTTTTCAGGGCCAAATGGGCTTTCAACATAAGCTGGAGTTTATATTAAATGTGTTATTCAGTTTGCAATACATCGAAATATTCATCGGAGACCCAATAAGGTATATATTATGTAAAAAATATAATCAGACTGTTACGATAGAGATCGCAATATTTAAAAGAGATGTTTGTTATTGCAAATGGTGTCGATATGATAAATCGGTCCAAGTTTTGGTATAGCTTCTATATTACGGTACGTCCCAATGTTTGTCCCTATTTCATATTTTGGATGATCGTTTAGTTTTCGTCCTGCAAACGATCATAGACAAATAATAATTTTTGTATACCTACCTTATTATGAGTGAACAAATATTCGTTTAAAAAATCACGAATCTTTTGTGAACAAAATATTCGTAAAATAATATACGCCTCTGGATAAAAAATATTTGTTCAAAAAATCCACACTTCTGTTGATAAAAATCCACCCAAGCCACTGCTAATGGAAAAAAATATTCGTTTTAAAAAACCAAGCCTCTGTTGATGAAAAAATAATTGTTTAAAAATAAAACCCTGTTAATGGAAAAATTATTCATTAAAAAGGCCAAGCCTCTGCTGATGGAAACAATATTATTTAAGAAATCCCGGCCTATATTGATGCTTACAAAATCAAATCCTCTGTTGATGGTAAAAATATTCTCTTAAGAAATCCACGCCTCTTTTGTTGATAAATAATATACGTTTAAAAAACCCACACCTCGGTGTATGACCAAATATTCCTCTGAAAAATCTACTCCTCTGTTGATGAAAAAATGTTCGTTTAAAAAATCCACGCCTCAGTGGATGAAGAAATATTTTTAAAAATCCACGGCTCTATAAACCAATTGAAATAATATTCTAAGACACAAATACAAATAAATTTACTAGAAATCATTATTTTGTTTGTTGTTGTTTTTTTGTATTTCTCGTCTTATCTAATAAAATACATTTTAATTTGTATTTATAGTTTTTGTTGTTCTTAAATTCATAGCTTTTTGTTTTGTCTGTTTGTTGTTCTTACTTAAAATCAAATTTATACAAAATAACTTTAAATTATAGAAAAATGTTGAATAAAAATATCAACAAAAAACAACAAATTATACAATATTTTTATAATTTGGTCTATATAAAATATTATATATAAATATCAAAAAAATCTTAGTTATGGAAATTTGTTTGTTTATATTTTAAAGTAGTAGTAAAAAAATTCTATTACATTAATATGCATCCTCAGACTTGTCACTAGCAACCTCCGCATGACGAAACTAATTCTATGATATTAACTTCTTCTTTTCCTCGGTGTCTTTTGGAAGGGGTTTCTTATTTGTTGCTGGAGGTTTTTTACCATAGAACATATCGGCAAAGAGGCCGGCAAATACCAGAACAGCGCCAAACCATTGACGTGGCAATAAGACATTGCCAAACAATACCACAGAACAGAGTACGGTAAAGAATTTACGGGTGGTGGTGACAACAGAACATGCCAACGGGCCAAAACCAGAAACCACTAGGAAAATGAATAGTTGACCCAAGGCACCACACAGTGCCAACATGGCCATATGGCCCCACAACTCAGGGTGGCGGCTGGCGAAATGTATGAATTCTTTGCCCTCACCTAAAAAAGAAGAGAATTTGTTTTAAATTATTTTCAATTATTTGAGAAGTCGTTCTACATACCTGTCACAATCATGGCAAAGCCCAACATCAGAGTACTCCAAAAGTTCATGGCAAACATCATTTGCTGCCCAGAAGGGGCACTTGAGGAACGCATACGTTCCTGTACGGCACCCGTTAAACCGTCCATAGACAAACTGAGTATGAGCAGCAATTCACCCAATCCAGTTTTGTCAGTGGCCGCCACAGCTGGGGCCTTACTCTCCTTGTACATGAACAACACCACCCCCACAACAATGTGCAATTCACAGGGAATTGTTTAATATAATTGGAAATGCTAAGGTATGCAATAAGGCGTTAATTTAAAAAAATTCTTCATCATGTTTTTTTAAATGAATATATGACATCAACAGAGGTTTGGGGTTTTTTAAACGATTTTTTCTCATCAACAGAATCGCAGATTTTTTAAAATAGTATTTTTTCAATAAACAGAGGCTTGGAATTTTTAAACGAATATTTGTTCATCAACGGAGGATTTTTTGAAATGAATAATTGACGTGGATTTAAAAATTATGTTTTTTGAAACAAATAAAAGGTGTAGATTAAAAAAAATTAAGAAATAATAGGCTTGGATTTTAAAAGAAATAGTGTTAGTGTTAAGTGAGTGAGTGAAAGCTGGGATTAAAAATCAATTATAAACAAAACGACTGAATTTTAGAAGCTTGAAATATTGAGTGTGGGTTGTTGTTGGTGAGAAGGCGTGAGATAAGGCTGGGTTTTTGGAAATTCGAACAAGAAGGGTACGAAATGTATTAAAATGTACCAAATATGGTACCCTCTGTATTAGGCGAACGCGAAGAGCTAGAATTCTGCAATTTGGAATGTGGGTCACTGATGGAAAGTTAGAAAGCTGTACAAAAGGGTTTTTTGAAATTCGATAAGTGTACTAAAAGTACTATTGACCTTGAAATTTTATATGGAATACAGGTAGGGAAGTGGTGTTGATGTATGGAAATGGTTTAAGAATTTCGTACTTATTTTTATAAAAAGTACAAAATGGTACTAAATTTGGTACTGTACAAAAGGGTTTTTTGAAATTCGATAAGTGTACTAAAAGTACTATTGACCTTGAAATTTTATATGGAATACAGGTAGGGAAGTGGTGTTGATGTATGGAAATGGTTTAAGAATTTCGTACTTATTTTTATAAAAAGTACAAAATGGTACTAAATTTGGTACTATTTGCATATAGTTGAGATGGAATGGATGAGATGGAATTCTGAAAATCGGAATTAGGACAAATGTTGTAGTACAGGATTGAGGTAGCTTTAAAAATTGTATTTAGTGTAACTAGAGGCACACCTCAAGGAGGGGTGCTTTCGCCGTTACTATGGCTGCTGGTAATTAATATGATTTTGAGGGATTTGGACTGGGAAGGTATCAAAGTTGTAGCTTACGCGGACGACGTGGTGATATTGATTTCCGGAAAATTTCCGTCTACAATCTCTGAGCTTATGCAAAGGGCCTTACTGACGCTGTCACGCTGGGCCAAGGCAAATGGTCTTGGTGTAAATCCAACGAAGACGGAACTGGTAATGTTTACTAGGAAGCGTAAGCTCGGCGTTTTTGTTCCACCAACATTGGATGGGGTGCAACTTCACCTATCTCCCGAAGCAAAGTACCTCGGCACAATCCTGGACTGTCAACTACGATGGAAAAGGAACGTTGAGGAGCGGGCGAAGAGAGGAATGATTGCACTCTGTGCATGCAAGAACTCTATTGGGAAAAGCGGGGGGGCTTAACCATTGACTATACACTGGTTGTATAACACTGTGGTGAAGCCCATCTTGTCCTATGGCTCTCTTGTTTGGTGGAACTGTCTGAGCCTCAAGTCGACATCTAGTAAATTAGACAAGGTACAAAGAGCCGCCGCAATTTTAGTTACAGGAGCCAGAAGGAGTACACCACAAGCAGCTCTGAACGCAACGCTGTACTTCAAGCCTTTGGGCCTAAGCATTAAGTGTCAGGCTGCGCGTAGCGCCCTAAGGCTACACGAACAAAAACTCTGGCGGAACTGTACCTATGGGCATAGTAGTGTTCTAAATGAACCAGGTATAGCATTGGACCAACGCGCTAAACTAAGCGACTATATATCACCAATCCTTAGATTTGACGATGTAGATGTCGTTATCCCTAGTAGAGACGACTGGAAAAGAAGTAACCCTCCTCTGGACGGTCTGGCCTTCTATACAGACGGATCCAAGATGGAAGAAGGTACTGGGGCAGGCGTTTACTGTGAAAGGTTAGGCCTTGAGTTGACCTACAAGCTGGATAGTAATTGTAGTGTTTTCCAAGCTGAAATCTTCGCGATCTGGAAGGCAGCGGAATTGATAAAAAACCTGGATGCTGAGGTCGTTGAACCGGTGACTATCTTTGTGGATAGTCAAGCGGCTCTTAAAGCCATCAAATCTTGCCACATCAAATCCGAAGCCGTCCTCAAGTGTAGAACAGCTCTGGAAGAACTAAACCATAGCTATCGGTTGTGTTGGGTACCAGGACATTGTGACATCTTGGGTAATGAAAGAGCGGACGAACTAGCTAGACGAGGATCTCAATCCACCGATCTAGAAACTGATGACTCACTTAAACCACCCATATGTCTTTTCTATAGGAACTTTGAGGCATTCTTTGACGAAACAGCCCGCGAACTTTGGCACAACGAACCTAGGTGCAACGTGTCAAGATCAATCTGGCCGACTCTGTCTACCAAAAGAACGCACTCACTATTGAACCTGAACAAAGCTGAAATTAGAGTGATGACGGGAATCATCACTGGTCACTGCAACATCAGGGCCCTTACTAGTAAATGGGATCTTGACGCAACTGATTACTGTAGACTCTGTGTTGACGAGGAGGAGACGGAGACAATTGAGCATCTCCTGTGTCACTGCCCAGCCCTGGCTTACAGGCGACACAGACTAATGGGTGCTCATATTCTACCGGGTCTCAGCTTCTTCTCATCAACCGAACCTGCTCTAATCTACAGCATAATTAGAAACATAAAGTGGTTAGGAGCACATAACATTGGCACGTATTGCTTTTTTCTGTCTGACTCATAGGACCATCGACCTTTCACTCATTCTTCACCCCTTTAATCTACTACTCTTCTCTCCCCTACAGATCTATCTTCTTGATCTCTTCTCTTCACTGTATCTTTTCTTGTGGATGATCACAACGGACCTAACCGGTCTCAGAGTGTTGCAGTCACACATGTGACTGCACATCCCCAAACCTAACCTAACCTAGTGTACGAAAAGTACTTAATGTTACTAAATTTGGTGCAAGTTCGATTTAAGTGAACAGATAGAGCTGGAGTCTTCAAATTGGGAATTAAATGACTGTTGCAGTGTAGGTTGAGTTTTGGAAATTCGTACTTAGTGGTACGAAAAGTGCTAAATGGTACAAAATCTTGTACAATTTTGATTTTGCTTGAATGGATGGAGTTGAAAACATAAAATTTGGAATTCAGATTACTGTTGAAGATTGATCTATAGAGATATCTTTGGAAATTTGTAGTTATGTGTACGAAAAGTACTAAACGGCACTATATTTGGTACAGTTTGGATTTAAGTGAACGGAGAGAGCTGGAAACCTAAAATTTGGAATAATGCTTGCTGTTGGAGTATAGAATTAAGATATGGAAGCATAGTACTTATGTGTACTAAATGGTACTATATTTTGTACAACTTGATTATTTGTGAACGGAAAGAGCTGGACTTTAGAATTTTGGAATTAAAATTACTGTTGGAGTGATTTGGGAAATTCTTAATTATAGAAACAAGAAGTACTAAAATGGGACCAAATAGTTTACAAATTGTTTTTGTGCGAGCAGATAGGGCTGACATCCTGAAATTTTGAATTAAAATTGTCGGTAGTTTTGAAATTTCATTATGTCATTATGTGTACTAAATGGTACTAAATTTGGTACAATTTAGAATTGAGTGAACGGATAGAGGTGGAAAACTTAAATTTGGAATGAAAATAATTGGAATTTCGTACTTATGAATACGAGAAGCACTAAATGGTACTAAATATGGTACAATTCGTTTTGTGTGAATCCAAGAAATCGGAATTAAAATTAAACTTGGAGGGTAGGATTGAGACATGGAGGTAGTTCCAATTATGGTCAAAGACAACGCCTATAATTTTCGATGATGATTAAAATTTTGGAATGAAATGGACCGAAAACTTCATTTTTTTGTGTGTTTTCTAGTCGAATATAGGCGAACATCACAACACAACCCACCGTGAAGGGAATCGCAATTAACATCCGAGTTCCGTGGTAGTTGTGTAGGGTATCGTATGGTCGACCCCGTCCGACTATACTGCTCCGCTCGCTGGTTAAGTAATACATTTATAGTAAATTATATAGAAGATCATTAAATTTGAAATGAAGGTCACTGACTGAGAGTTAGAAAGAAGTTTTTGGTATTAACTGGTACTGACTGGTAGTGGTGGTGATGAGGTTCAGTGGCGACATCCGAAACTATAGTCTTCCCTGCCTTACCCCTCGGTGGATAATGCCATACATTCCTCACTAATAAAAAGTTGTTTTTTTTTTAATATCAACAAAATGGGATTCAGCCTGACTATTTTGCAAAAACAAAAACTTGTTTGTATTCCCTTTCCGCATACGAAGTAGCGGGCACTTTAAAGGGTGATTTTTTTGAGGTTAGGATTTTCATGCATTAGTATTTGACAGATCACGTGGGATTTCAGACATGGTGTCAAAGAGAAAGATGCTCAGTATGCTTTGACATTTCATCATTAATAGACTTACTAACGAGCAACGCTTGCAAATCATTGAATTTAATACCAAAATCAGTGTTCGGTTCGAAATGTGTTTCGCGCTTTACGTCCGATTTATGGTCTACATAATCGACCAAGTGAGCAAACAATTAATGTGATTGTGACCAAGTTTCGCACTCAGTTTACTTTATTGGACATTTAACCAACCACACGAATGCGTACAGTGCGTACAGAAGAGAATATTGCGTCTGTTTCTGAGAGTGTTGCTGAAGACCGTGAAATGTCGATACGTCGCCGTTCGCAGCGATTGGGTTTGTGTTATTCGACCACATGGAATTTTCAGTGAATGGGCCCTAGAAAAGTTGGCAGAAAATCCGCTTTTTTATCGACAAATTTTCAGCGATGAGGCTCATTTCTGGTTGAATGGCTACGTAAATAAGCAAAATTGCCGCATTTGGAGTGAAGAGCAACCAGAAGCCGTTCAAGAACTGCCCATGCATC